CAGACAGCAGGGCTGAGGTTGGGTTCCCTGCTGCTCCAGACAGCAGGGCTGAGGTCAGGGTCCCTGCAGACAGAGCTTGCTAGCTGATTCCAGGCCTTCTTTACCCCCTGCCCTCATGACAAAGGTGCATGGACAGAAATGACAGGTCCTCCAGGAGGGTTTGGGGATCATCTTCCTGCTGTGTGGGATGATTTTGTCACCAGGGACCTTGGCTGCCTCACAAAAATCTGTCTTTCTTTTTGGTGCTTTCTGTTCATGGACAATGAGAGCAGGTGGGAAAAGTGACATGCAGAGTTTTTTTGTTTGTTTGTTTTTGTTTTTGTTCCCCCCCCCCTTGGCTGATTAAAGTAGAGGGAATATTCTGGAGAAACATCAGTCTACATATTTTATGCTTAAAATGTGTCAACCTTGAATTTTAGCTGAGATCCTGAGCCAGTTTCCTGAGAGCAGGGACCCTACCTAGTGGACAGTGAAGTCTGTGTGGGCCAAGATGGCGTCTTCCCGACCCCATCCACAATCCCTACTTGCTTCCTTGCCTCCGCCATGTCCAATGAGAGCAATTGTTCTAGCATTAACCCTGATTGATTAACGCTGCTCAGAAACTCAGAATTGTTATTAGGGTAATCTCATCACATTTAATGTGTTCACAGTCAGCTGGGACGTCAAAGTGTAGATTTTGATTCTGTAACTGCAGGTGGCCTGCAGCCCTTGGGCGTGCCTATCTAATCACAGTTTCGCTAGTTGAAAAATCTACCCTTGAGGAGCAAGGGTCCAAAGCAGCAGTCTGCAAAATGTCCCACAGAGCATGTTTAAGACACGCCCACTGTCCCTCCGGCTGCTTGTTGAAAGTGCAGATTTGGGCTGGTTATAGCTCAGTGGTAGATGCTTACCTAGTATGCGCAGGATGCTGGAGTCAATGCCCAGTACTGCATGAAAAAACTTTAAAGGGAGGGTGGGGGATGAGCAGTGCTCTACTTCAGAGTTTGGGAGGTTTTAGTCCAAATGGGGGGAGCGGGCAATTGGCGCGTTGTTCGGAACATGTGACAGGCTGCACCTCACGGTGAAGTACACAGTAAGGAAGAGCGGCTTCCCTCAGAGCAGTCAGTAAGCAAAACAGAGAAAGAGGAAGAGGCAGGGTTCCATAATCCTCTCAGAAGACTATATCCCTAATGAACTAAAATCTCCCGTCCGGCCTCACGTCCTAACTGCCTCACCCCAGGCCCCTTTATAAAGGTGCCATGCTGAGTGCTTAAGGCTGTGATTCCTGAGTCTTTGGGAGACATTCCAAAGCCAAGCTACCATAGGGAGTTAGATGGATACAGTAGTCGATTATGGAGTCAGGAAGATGTGTAAAACAAAATAAAACAAAACGAAAACAAGTTGTAGAGGTTTCTTGGGGAAAGACTGTCCAAAAGACTCCCAACAGTTGGTCAGCGTGAGGTCCAGGACTTAGCCCTGCTAAGCCTCGGCTCGCTCTTTCATAAAGTGCAGGTGATGGGATCTGACGAGTCTTCCCCATCCCTGCTCCTGCCTTCTCTCCACAGCCGTCCAGCATGCTCTGCTCACCGCATCCCGGGGTGCACTGACCATGAGCCTCAACTCCTCCCTCGACTACAGGAAGGAGCTGAGCAACCTCACTGCCGCCGCCGCCGCCGAGGGTGGTGAAGGGGGTGTTGTGACAGAGTTCATCGCCATCATCATCATCACCGTCTTCGTCTGCCTGGGCAACTTGGTCATTGTCGTCACCTTGTACAAGAAGTCCTACCTCCTTACCCTCAGCAACAAGTTCGTCTTCAGCCTGACCCTGTCCAACTTCCTGCTCTCCGTGCTGGTGCTGCCCTTCGTGGTGACCAGCTCCATCCGGAGGGAATGGATCTTTGGCGTGGTCTGGTGCAACTTCTCGGCTCTCCTCTACCTGCTGATCAGCGCGGCCAGCATGCTCACCCTCGGGGTCATTGCCATCGACCGGTAAGTCTGCATCGGACTTGGGGAGTGGAAGGACTATGGAATGAGGGATCTCTGGGCCACCCGCGTCAGATGATTGTGTTCCTGGGAAGCGCACTAGAAGGTTCTTCCGAAGGAGAGTGTGCAAAGTGAGTTCTGCCTCGTCTTTAGCTCCTCAGCCAGAGCCTTTCCCATTTCATCTGTCTGTATTTTATGTATAGTCAAGGGCCACATACGATGCTCTGGCGGGTGACAGATTGTGTATTTGATGGTCTGTACCATATAGCCTGGTGGTCAGTACATCTTACATCTAAATTTTATATCAGTACTCTATAACGTCTTCTGCATAACAAAATCGCCACATGGCAGGGCTCAGAATGCATCCCTGTTACACAATGATGCACGACTGTAACTTTACTTTGTTTTTTTTTTTTTTTAAAAAAGAAGGTCCATTGCTTTAAAAATAAAACAAAAATCCCAGGAACCTGTCATTCTTGTTTTACCTATAAAATAAGGGCCAGCCAAGGAGGGTGTCAGAGTAGGAACTGAGCCTGATTCTTCAGACTCAGCCGCTCCTCTCCGCTGTGAGCTTGATGTGTCTTCCTTTGACCTCGGTCCGGTCCCGTCTTGACTGGTGGATGCCAGACAAATGCCCGCTTTACTCTTTTGTTCTGTAGAGACAGGCCAGGACTGGCTGGGGGAGCAGTGAGAAGGCAGAGAGCCGAGGGAATGGTACCTGGAGAAGCCTAGCAGGCTTTTATAGCCCATATTGGCCCCACCCGAGGTGCAACTGAGGCAGAGGCCAGATGCCGATACTCAGGCTGCTTAGCTGCACCTCGGGTTCCCAGTGTCCAGCCAGGGTCATGCTGGCTGGTCTAGCTTCATACACGCGTCAGCGGGACTGGCCGTGAAGTTCCCAACCCTCATGTATTGGGTCCCTTCAGTGGTCACACACCAGAACTGGACTTCTTGAAGACAGAGAGAGTGGAATCAAGGTTCATGTGCTTTCCTGAAACTGGGAAGAGTGTTAGGGGGAGGGTCAGGGAAATTCAGAGGGGACTAGTCAGGGATGCTGTCACAGGCTGACACAGAGTCTCCAGACTCTTGGGAACATGGTTATTTGGGTTGGACTGGCTCCCCTGAGCACAGCGATGCTGGACCCCAAGGTTGGATTCTTGTTTTCCCTATGGCTTTGTAGAGAATGTAGAAGGAATGAGTCAAAATGAATCCGTTAGCGTCTCCAAATGTCTATTTATTCCAGTAATAAAAGCAGCATAAATCAAAAGAGCGAAATAGACAAGCACAGTCTAGCAATCCAGGGACATCAGTGCATGTTTCCAGTGTGCTTG